TCTATAAAATAACAATAAATCATTTTGCCATATTAACACGGTTACAAGTCAACATAATCTTAAGCACATTCAAAATAAATAAAAAAACAAATTTTATGAACAAAACAATGATAATAATCAATAATAATAATAATAATAATAATAATAATAATAGGTAATAATTTATCAATAAATGTTTATGATTGGTGTTCTTCTAGCTGTAATGAGCTAGTGTCATCAGATATATTGTTACAAAAATATGATGCTTGCATTGAGTACAACCGATCAATAGGATTTGAACCACATCGGATAACAGTCTCCTGTGATACGAAACCACCATAAATGTGTTTAGGTAACATAATGTCTGGTGTTATGTAATTTGGTTCTTGGCGGTTGTTCAAGTCTAAAAAAAAATGATTTATGAAGTTAAWGTATAATAATATAACAATATAGACAGGTACTAGCAAAGTTGTAAGACTATGCAACTATGGGAGTTAGGTAATCAACTCAATCATTAATAGTAGTAAGGTTAACTTTTTGACCATTTAATTTTACCTATAAAATGCATGATGGTTATTGGCTAGTTATAATAACAATACTGTCAGTCAGATGAAGGATTAGCTAAGGTTTCAGGAGTCGGGGTTATCGACATAAATAAGTAAAACTGAAAAATATTTATTCAACTAAATAAAATAAGTATCTAAGTAAAATTATTGTGGTTTGTGTAACAGATACTGAAAAAAAATATTATAGCAAAACATGATTGGTATCAAACCTTTTTTGGTTCATATCATAAAAAATCAAAGCACTGGAGAAATTATTTAACTATCGATTTATCAGTATAATTATTGATAATTATTTATGTCTTTCATAAACTATTGTCGTTTAATAACCGTGAAAAATAATAATAATCATTTTACTGTAAAAAATAATAATAAAATTCAAATATTTAATAAGAATAAATATTTGAAAGGTGAAACTTTTTAGTATACGGCACGCTTTATATGTCTAAATAGAATATTGGTAAGTTTGATTTTGATATTATTTATTTCCAAAGGTATGTATAGGTAATTATCAATCAGCAAATGAAAATTCTTCCGAAAATATAAAAAGTGAAATAAGATCTGTACTCAAATATTTAAAAGCACAAGGAAATCAAACACTATAGGTACCTAACAAATATATTTCATTTCAAACAGCCAATGAAATTTGATCGATCATCACAAATATTATTGGAGAACTTGATGAAAAGTTATTCAAGACAGGTATAATTTTTTTTTTATGGTTAGGGCTTCGACAACTGAGGTCATTAGCCTGGGGAACTATAGGGGAAGGTACTGTAAGGTTACAGGTATAATTGTCTGATACAGTATAACATAAAAAAAGTTAAGTTATTTTAAAAACAAAAACTTAGTACCTATCAAAAACAAAATCTGAGTTTTAAATTTTAATTACTAAAAGTTAAAGTTTTACATACTACCTAATACAAATATATATCCTTTCAACACCAATGTCTTATATAATAAAACACTAACAACGCGAACGTTGTCCGATAAATGGGGATTTAATAAAATGTTATAAACTTATAACAGCTACCTAGGTGCTCAAATGGCAAACAATATTACACAACATAGATACATCACATTTAGTTTATATACAACTCGGATAGTTTAATAATACAACATTAGTACCGACTAATTACTTACTAGTTATGACTTATCTATGACAGTGTAGAGTTAGGTACGTCAATAATTTAATAATTTGAATTTAATTTTGGTTACATTATTATTATTATCTAACATTAAATGTTTATAAACATTTGTTATTAATTCGCGTTGTTTGAACGTGTAGGTAATTAAAAAAAATGCTTCAGAATATACTCAAATACGTAATATTGTACTAAAAAATAATTTGAAAATATTTCTCAAATAGTATTATAAATAATTTATAATACATATACTTTAATTTTGAATAATAATTAAATTAATTTAACAAGATTAAAGATGTTTTAAGTATTTAAAAAAAAATCTTCGTACTCAAATTCTATTTGCAAGTCTACGCTTAATAGACAGACTTTGGTTTATCAAAATTATTAAATAAAAATAAGCAGATTAGATAATAGTTAAATTTTGTTTTATATATTTATGAGTGTAACGTATTAACGTCTATAATTTTGAAGTAGAATAAAGTCTATATATTAAATCAGCTAATATTAAGAACTCTAAAGTATCTATTTTGTTACGAATAATCCTATTTTAGTAATTAACCTTTAACTTTATGATTTTYTTTGTTGTCTTTACAATCKTTAAATAGTTCATAAAACCATGGAAGGTTGTTGGAAAAATGGTAAAATAAATAAATATGTTTGCATTTTTTGAGTAAAAATTGTGGATTTAAGTTATTCAATTCATATAATTCATGCAATAAATGACACAATTTATAAATATTTAAATTATTTAATACTGTAAAATAGTGTAAATTTATCTTTTAAAAGACTAACTATATGTCCCATCGTATATACATTTGGAAACATAAATCATACCTATAGTTTATTCCTATCTATAAAAACGGTTTAAAGGCAATAAYAATTTAGGAAAAAATATGACAAAACCCGTATTCCACGCCACTGGCTTGCAGCTGAGGAAAATAAACAAACGTCATTGTTACGTCTATATTATTTGTATAAGCTAGAACTCATCATTGGCGTGCAGACTACGAGGAAACGAGGTGACGCGCGCGCACGCCTGTGTGTGTGTGTGTGAGTGGAGGTCACACCGCAGGAAGTCCCCGCGGGCGTTAATACGCGCGTTTATTATTTTCTTCTCTTGGCAAAATGATCGGAGACTACGTCGGATGGAGAGGGTGTGGTAGCATCGGGGAGTGTACGCGTGTCACCCACCCGCGTCTTTATTGGTCCCTATCACCCCTCGTCTCCTTCTACGGGCTACGTTTCCCCCTCTACAAATCCCTTTGACAGCTATAAAACCGGTGGCGCGGGGACGAGGGATTATCCCCCCTGTTCGTATATAGCCTTCGATCACAGCGGGCGCGGGTTTAATATTAAATTCTTCAGACTAGGACGGGCATTATATAGGGAAGTGTGGGGTGGGGTTAAGGGTTTTGTATGGGAACCATTACAAATAACGCGGGAGCTTTAAGACGCCAGTGCATGTTGGGGAGAGGAGAATCTTCAGGGGAAAGTCGTTTCTTCCTTTTTT